CCCCCCCCCAAACATGATTTTTCTTCTCAACTCCAAGCAAACTTCTTAATTTGCCAAAGGCATCATCTTTGAGGGCCTTAGTGAAAATATTAGGTCTTGAGACTTCACAAACTTGAGCTTGAGACTTCACAAACTTGAGCTCCACCTCTTTCTTGATCACATACTATCTAATGAAATGGAACCTGGTGTCAATATGTGTACTACGATAATGAAACACCAATGAAGATCTCTGTCAATTCTTCTTGAGGCAAATGATGCTCCTTCAACAAATTTCTAAACCAAATGGCTTGACAAACACATGATGTAGCCGCCACATACTCGACATCATAAGTTGAAAGAGTCACAATGTGTTGCTTCTTTAAACTTCAAGCAAATGCAATATCTTCCATGAAGAAAACATACCCTGTTGTACTTTTTCTATCATCTATATCTCCGGCCCAATCACTATCACAATAGTCCGAAAGCTTGGAATTGTTAGAATAAGAATATAACAATCCATAATCAAGTGTACCTTTGATGTATTTAAGAATTCTTTTCGTCACGTTCAAATGAGTCGTGGTAGGAGCTTCCATCTAACGACTTACAAGACCAAATGTCTTGTGCATGTTAAGTACCTCGAGCTTCAAATTAAGCTCTTAAAATGGGTGGAATCCACATGCTCTCCATCTTCATATTTTGACAATTTTACACCACATTCAACGAGTGTATATACCGGCTTACAATCTTGCATCTTGAATTTTACCAAAATTTCTTTAGCATAACCTTCTTGGGAGAATATCTTCCTCAATTTGCTTCACTTCAATGCCAAGGTAGTATGACATAAGCCCAATACCGGTCATCTCAAATTCTTTAGCCATTGCTCTCTTGAAATCTTTAAACATTCTTGGACGATTTCCTGTGAAGATTAAGTTATTAACATACAAATAAATATAGAGTATATCCACATTGTCATTCACGTTTTTATAAAGAGCATGTTCATGGAAACACTTGGTGAAATTATTTGCTTAAAACTTCTTGTCAAGTCTACTATTTCANTCTTTAAACATTCTTGGACGATTTCCTGTGAAGATTAAGTTATTAACATACAAATAAATATAGAGTATATCCACATTGTCATTCATGTTTTTATAAAGAGCATGTTCATGGAGACACTTGGTGAAATTATTTGCTTAAAACTTCTTGTCAAGTCTACTATTTCAAGCTCTTGGTGCTTGTTTCAAGGCATATAAAACCTTCTTTAATTTCAAGACTTTCTCTCCTTGCCCTTTCACAACATAACCCAAGGGTTGTTCAACATACACTTATTCATCAAGAAAGCCATTCAAAAAGGTGAACTTCATATCTATTTGGTGAATGTCCAATCATTTAGAGCCGCTAAAGAAATAATCAATCTAATTATTTCCAGACAAGCAATAGATGCAAATACCTCATCGTAGTCAATACCCAATCTTTGACGATAACCTTTTGCAACCAATCTTGTTTTATACTTCTCCACTTCAATTTTGAAATTTTTCTTTGTCTTGTACACCCATTTCACTCCAATGANAGACAAGCAATAGATGCAAATACCTCATCGTAGTCAATACCCAATCTTTGACGATAGCCTTTTGCAACCAATCTTGTTTTATACTTCTCCACTTCAACTTTGAAATTTTTCTTTGTCTTGTACACCCATTTCACTCCAATGATCTTTTTTCCTCTAGGGAATGTGGCAAGTTCCCATGTTCCATTCCTTTCAATAGCTTCAATTTCTTCATTTATGACACTTATCCACTTCTTGTCTTATGCCACTTTCTCATAGTCTATGAGATCACATTTGGAAAATAGGCAAAAGAGTGTTAGATCACTAAATCTTTGAGTTATCTCTTCAGTTTCTTCATAGATATCTCAAAGACTCCTCATACGAGGTGACCTTTCACTTAAACTTGCTTTGGATGATGATAGAGATGCTTGCACATTGGTGGGTGACTGTGGAGAAGAATAAATGGATAGCTTTATGATCTCATTGGGCTCCTACTCTTCTTCAAAGAATGGAAAAAAATCATAGTCTTCTTGTGGAGTGTTCAAATCTCATTCATCTTCTTCATGAAACTCAACATCTCTACTGATGATTATCTTGTCATTGCTTGGGTTGTAAAGTTTGTAACCTTAGCTTCTTGAATCATAGCTAATGAAGACCAACTTTTCACTATTGTAATCTAGTTTAGTCCATTTCTCATCCGGCACATGTGCATAACATACACTTCCAAAAACTGGCAAATGAGAAACATTTGGCTTGATTCCTCCCCATGCTTATTGTGGTGTTTTGTTTTCAACACTTCTAGTGGGACACCAATTTAACAGGTAGATGACACAATCAATAGCTTCCTCCCAAAACTCCTTGGGCATTTCTTACTCTTCAACATACTTCAAGCCATGTTAAGAATGGTTTGGATCTTCCTTTTAGCAACACTATTTTGTTGTGGAGATCTTGGAACCGCTAGAGGATGATGAATTCCATTTTCTTCACAAAAATATTTGAATTCATTTGATGTGAATTCATCTCCTCTATCGAATCTAATTACCTAAACTTCATACCCACTTTGTTTTTCAATCAAAGCCTTAAAATTTTTGAAAACAGTAAACACCAATTTTTGTTTTAATCAATAAACCCAAGTTTTCCTGCTAAAATCATCAATAAAGAGAAGAAAATACTGGCTCTCACCAAACGGTGGTGGGTCTATAGGCCTGCAAACATTCAAGTGTAGTTGAAGTAGTTTGATTGCTCTTGAAATAGATTCTTTAGGAAAGCTCTTTCTAGCTTGCTTTCCAATTAAACATCCCTAACAAAGTTGATTTGGGTGGTTGATAGAAGGCAATCCTTTCACCATCTTATTTCTAGACAACAAAGTTAGTTCTCCAAAATTCAAGTGCCCAAATCTCAAGTGTCATAACCAAGAAGAATCTTTAACACAAGCTTTCAAACATTTTGTCACATCACTTTGAATATTTAACAAAAACA